CTAAAAATCCCGCTCCTACGGAGTCAGTGCTAGACCTTCTCCGGGCCCTCCCGTGTCCTCCGYGGAGTCTGTGGAAAGCCAGGGAACGCATCGAGGCCGACAGGAGCCTCCTGCAGGCTCCTCCAGGCAGGCTTCTCATCTGACTCACCCCAGACGTGCCGGTGCCTTTGCTATTTACCTTCCCATGCAAAACCTGCGCACAGAGCTCACCTCTTGCTGCCTTTGCACACACCAAGGGATTAACGCCGACTTTGCTGTGCAAATCTTAGCACCYGTCTCTCTGAAACCAATGAGATAAGGCAAAGTACTTTGGTCCTCTGAAGGCTAACCAAGTGTCATGTAATTTATAAAGAAAAGGCAGGCTTTACAGGAACACAGATTTCTGCAAAACTGCTTTTAGGGTGGAAGCTGAGTAAATGAAAACTCGTACTGGAGAAGCAGGCTTTGGTTTTGCAGTATTAGCTTCACTGCAACCTGCTTTTCTCATCCAAAAAGCAGAAAATCTTGATTGAACAGATTTTGTTTCTTTTTTCCTTTCTTTCAAAATAACTGCTCGTGTCAGAAAGTGTCAAAACACAATTAGAGGGCTTTTTCCCTCTCTTCGGCACGCTTTCTGACAGTGTTTAATCATTACCTTCCAAATTAGTTTTGAGGAGGACGGAAAATAAACAGAAAATAACCCAATATATACTTGCAGCCCCGTGGCTAGCGCGGCCCCGCTCCACAGTTTCAGTGCCGTTGGACCCCAGTACGTGCTCCCAGGCCGGTGTGAGAGCAGCCCGGGGGTGAGACGAGACGTGGGGGCTCTGGGCCGTCTCCCGCCGGCCAGGAAGGAGCCGCTGGGAGGTCCCGGCCGCAGCGGCAAGGCCGAGGCCGGCAGCGCCTCGGTGCGAGGAGCACCGGCTGTTGCGCTGGCTCTGCAGCCGGCTCGAGCTGCAGCTGCTTCCATCGGGAAGGAGCGGGAAAGGGGCTTCCACTGGGAGAGGGGAAGGACGCCCCGAAAGGGGGGCTCTGCCTTGCGTCCTCACTCCGTAGCGTTCCCCTTTGCCCTAAGAGCTTGGTTGAATGAACAGAGCCCGCATCTGAGCAAGGCTTCAGCGAAAGGYGCCGCTGGGGAGGCGATGGAACCCGGCCCCTCGGCCCCCCACAGCCGCCCTCCGCGCACGGACCCCCGCAGCGGCGCCCGCTGCAGCAGCCTTTGCCACGCCAAGGAGGTCCCGGCAGAGCTGGGACCAGCACCAAAGCCTGGCAGCAACCGGGGGCCCGAGGCAGCACCGCGCAACGGGCCCCGCTTTGCCCACAGTGCACACAGGAAGAAACTGCATCTCGAACAAAAACAAACAGAAAATAAAATAAACCYGCAAGCAGCGAGGCGCCTGGCCTCGCTGGAGGTGAGCGCCACAGCTGCCTCGCACTTCTTGCTTTTATTTCCATTTATTGTGTTTCTTTTCCTCTTCTGGCAGCTCTGCAAGGGCTGAGAGGAGCTCAGCATGTTGCGTTAGAGCTTCCCTCACCCTTAGGYAGGCTTTGGGTGTTGGGGAATGATGACACTACAGAGCACACRGAAAGGAAAAGTGATCTGCTGGCACCGGCATAATAATTTTCTGGCAAGTTCTGCTGAAAATTAATGAGAAATACATGCAGTTGTGGTCATATTAGCCAATATTGACTCTCTTGGACTAGTTACCAGATGAAATCATGCCCTGGAATGCAGTCCGCTTTGCCAGGAGCATTATTTCGCTCCGGAATTCAATTTTTCAACCCCAGAAACAACGTTATGTCTAAGCTGGAAATTCCAGACAAGCGCGTCACGTTTTAAACACGTACTTTTAGCAGAAGGAAACCAAGCCATGCTCAGCGCCGTGCGTCCTGCCTCGGCAGCCCCGGCACCACCGCGCTGCTCCGCTCTGCCCATGCGTGCCCTGCCACGGCAGCCTGCCCCTCTCTGGGCAGCCTGCTTGGGAGCTGCGTGGGCAGCACCCTGCCTGAAGCCTGAAGGGCTGCGGGGTTGTCCCGCAGCTCTGCGCCTCGACGGGAACACGGGGGCTGCACGTGAGCACAGCAGACAGCAATCGGGTGCCAGGAAAACGCGCCATCCTCCGCCCCAAACATCAAAATAACTCCCCTGCACACAAACAAAGGGGGGGTTAATTCCTGCCTTCCTTTGCAATTCCCTCAGACACGTTTTGTGTCTGAAAGAAACGCATCGGGAGCTGAAAGGAGCAGGATGCTCTCCACGAGGCCGTGCGTCCACGGCCAGCAGAGCAGCGGTGTCCTGCGGGCGCGCGCGTGGCGAGCGAGCGCGGGAGCCGCTCCGGCGCCGCGCAGGCACCCCGTGCACCCAGCACACACCGCAGCTCGCCGCACGCCACCCAGCCGCTCCGCAYGGAGACCATCGATCTGATTTCTCCGTGATTATCTTTTCAGCAATTGGATCCAGCTGGTCAGGAATCTTCAGTGGGAGGTTAATGAATATTGCTGAGCTTGCAGAACAAAATGTTGAGCTTCAAACAACTCTGGGGTTCATTTTTAATGAAATGTTTTAAATTCTTGGATTTTATCTATTTTGCAAGCTTCAGAAGCAGCCTTGGTGCTCTTTTAAGTTGCTTCCTTGATTTTTTTTTTTTCATAAGAAGGAACTCATGTATGAAAATGCATCACATTGTTGCTCTTTTAACCCAAACAGTATGCAAAAATCAAAGCGTTCCCATCTTGTGTCCATGAAAAATTGATACGGCTCCAATATTTCTTTGCAAATGAGTAGGGCTGCACACAAGAATCTACAATAAGCTCTACTTTTATGACCACACGGGGGAAAAATGCAAGGAATAGGAGTTGCTGGGAGCGGAGGGCACCGGGGGCCGCCAGCACGGCCGCGTGCGGACGCCTCCCGCGGTGGCTCTGCCCAAGCGGCCGGGAAAGCCCTGCCGGAGCCCTGCCTTGCCGGGCTCAGTGTTGCCACCTCGGCTATTATTACCCTGTTACCAAGAAGGAAGCATTAATGGCTCTGTTGTCCGGCCAGAAAGCAGGCGCTCACCATGCGAACGGACGCTTGCCAGCTCTGTGACTGGGGCCTATTTTTGTCTTCCACGGCCGGGCATGTTTTTCCCACCGGAATAGCAGAACAGAGAGGGGTAGCCCGCTCCGGCCTTGCAGAGCTTTCTGCTCCCTGCCCGGCCCCTTTAGTGCCCACGTGCTTCAGCCAGGACGGCCCGAGCAAACCCATGGCAGGAGGGACCCTGGCTCAGGGAACAGGCCACTCAGGAGACACAGGAACTTCTGCCTGAGGCTGCCGGCCGTCGGGTGCCCGCTGTATTTCCAAGAAGCTGTTTGTGCACATTGCTTCACTTCTCATTTTATGGGCAATGTCTGCTCCACATCTCCGGTGCGTATCCTGCTCACAAAACACGAGCGCCCTGGGATGTGTCACGGGGCCTCCTGGGTCACCTGTGTTTGCTGTTGAGATTTCATCCCCTTTATTCTTCTAAGGAAGGACGTTGGGGATGCATTATATACTCCTTACACACCATTCCTAATTCCATCCTCTCCTTTTCATCTGCATCACCATGAGGATCACTATGAAGCTCTAGGTGAAAACGTCCATGGCAGAGGCCAGCTCTGCCAAACATGGGAGCTTTATGGCCCTACAGAACCAAATGCCAAAGAAGTCAAGAACAGATCAAATCCACGCTCATATATATTTTTTCCAGCGCTGGCATTTACAGAGACCTTTGTGACAATTTTATGCCTCCTCTTGTTTATGTCTAAGCAAATGTTAGGAGGGTAAGTGTGCTGTCTGCTTCCATTCCTGCCTATCTCCTTCCTGCCAAAACTGTTTTGCAAGATCTTAATGCTTTTGAGTTAGCTCTGCAGCTCTCTACGGCACCCGGGTTCTTTTGTGTGTTTATCCCCTAGCTAAACACAGGCGAACACAAAAATGACACATCACCTCTTTGTGGAAAGAAATAAATTGACCTTCAGTCTGGCTTTGCCTTTTTGCTGTATAAAATAGCAAAAAAAAAAAAAAAAAAAAAAAAAGACAAGTACTTAATGCACAGCCACAGTGACTCTTAGGCAAATCCACTCTTAACTCTTAAGCAAATCCGCAGCGCACGAACGCACAAACAGACATTTATTTTGTTCCAGCTCTGGCGTTTTTACATCAGTTCACTATCAACAGGAAGCAAACTGTTTGAGAAACGCCAGACCAATGGCTCTGTGCAACCTCCCAGCCTCCTAAAGCCACGCTCTGAAGCCCCCGAAAGGGCAAAACCCCTCGAGCGCGACCGGCAGTAGCTCCCCGTGAGAGGCAGCGGCAGGAGCGCCGCTCCAGCCCCAAGCAAACCCAGCCTGGCAGCAAGTTCAAAGAGGCTCCGGGCTCCTTCTGAAGCCAGGGTAGCAACCAGGAGGGGAAGTGGGGCAGACTGCTCCTTATGGCTTGTGAAACACACGGATCCCGCGAGGAGGCTCCTYGGCGAGCAGCACGACCACGCTCGCCAGCCCTGCGCGCCGCGCTGACCGGCCGATTCCTGTAGCCCTTCCTCTTCACCCAAGCCTGGCAGAGAGCAATGGGGGAGAGGACACATTCCAGTGATTTGCACGGGAAACTTCCATTAACTTGCATGTCCCTGGCACCGTGCGAAGGTCAGCACAGGCGCCTGCGAGTCCCAGCTGCTGCGCAGTGCTCCGGGTATCTGCACCCATGGGCGTAAGGGCATTCTGTGCTGAAGATCAGCTGCGGGTGGGCTCTGTCTTCCAGGAAATTGCTGGATACAGGGATATTAGAGGCACTGGCAAGGATAGTAAAAAGAGCCCTCTTGGTGTGCGTGGCTTTGCAAAATAATCTTACTCCAAATTGCCATTTAACCACTTCATACGGTTCATAAAGGATTCCAGGAGCACTGTGTGTATTTTAAGACCCGCGGTGATATTCAAGAGGAGGCTCCCCCATTTAGAAAGCTGTAATTGACACTTTGGTTCTGAGTACATGGAGCACTTACCGTGCAAGGGAGCTCGCGGCAACTATTTCTGAGGCAACTTCAAAGGCTGTCGGGAATCTCCTCTGTGGAATCTGCTCTGTGGAATCTCCTCTCTGGAATCTCCTCTATGGAATGTCCCCTGTGGAACCTCTTCTCTGGAATCTCCTCTCTGGAATCTCCTCTATGGAATGTCCCCTGTGGAACCTCCTCTCTGGAATCTCCCCTGTGGAAAGCCATGTGGGCCCTGGGGTTCCGACCCGGCGGCCGAGACAGACAGGGCCTCTCCTAACCCAGTCCCCAACAAGGGGTCCCCCCTTGTCCCCTCCAGGCCTCTGCCAGGCTGACACAAGAGCCCCGAGCCCCAGGTTCTTGCTGGCCATGACTTGTACTGGTCCTTGCACATAGCAGGAGCTTCTCAGCCTGCACTGCTGGCCGTAACGCAGAGATTTAAGCATTTCCTAATTCCTGTGAACATACAGAGTGCGCACACCCTTGGCGAGACGGACACTCAGGATGTACATCCTTTATAATCCTTTATCTGTAATGCATACATATGGTTTCCATAAACAAGAGCGAGGCCAGACAATCATGAAGACAGAAGAGAATGAAAACTGAAAAGAAGAGCATTACACCTAAAGACACCGCACCAATATCTCCTGAGCTGCTAGACACAGCTGCTATTTTTAAAGCAGGGACCATCCACAAGTCAGACTAGTCACATTCGTCTTACAATGCAAAGGAGTGATTACAGCTCTCAAAGCCAGAAAAAATAACCGGCTGCCATGGAATATTGTAACTGCGATATTCCCAGAGCAGTATCTCCTGCTGGGCCAGAAAGGGCCAAACTAGCGAAGGACAGGCTCCAAAAGAGGGGAATACTCTGCCCCTCACTTCATACCAAGAAGAGCATATGTGATATAGGGATCACACTCAGTCACCTCTATTTGGGTCTTCACAAAATGCTGGGTAAGGCAACCGAGTGTCTGCTTGTTGAATCGCGGTCACTGCAGCTCAGAGACGCTGCTTTCCATGGAAGAGCAGTCCCGGGCAGGTGCTGCAGGCACATGCACCAGGGCCACCTGAAAGACCCGGGGTCCTGTGTGCGCCTACACACATTATCAGTAACTGGGCAATATCTGGGCATGTACAGACAAGTTTAAACACCACATAGTATTGCATACACACGTTTCTGGAGAGATTAGATGGTTGTTCTCAAGAAAGGACAGGAAATGATTGGGGGAAAATTATGAAAACTAGAATAATCACCATGCTAATCACCAAAGTGGGTTTGAGATGCAAAGGGATTTAATTCATCAATTTGCACAGATTAGGGAAAACTGAGATTCACTGCATTAAGAGCGCCTATTTATTTCTTAAAACCTTTCTTGGCCGGGAGCCATTAGGAACTTGTAAACGACTAGAATTATTGGTCTTTGATGGGCTCTCCTAAAGGGGACAGAGGGGAGAAAATGGCAGATTTGAGTCATTAGGCTCATCTTCTGTTAGCTCTGGTACTTTGCAAAAATACGTGTTGGAGCATAAACAGGTGACAACTGCCTAACTATGACCCAGTGGGAGCGGGGGCCATGCCCCGTCTGGCCACGCAGCGCTCCCGGCCAACCCGCCTGTCCAAAGCGAGCTCCACATCTGCCCTGCTCCTCTTACCCCATCGCTGTTCCCCTCCGCAGCTTCCCTTCTCCTCGTGATGCAAACTGTCCTGAAGGGAATGAAGCCATTCCAGCCTATGTGATTTACAAGCCAGAACGTGCTCTTAGGCTTTACTGCGCAAGAGATTAGCACTCCAGTGCATTTCATTAACTACACATCAGCACTGACTGAAGTTACTGCATGCACAGGTTTTTGGAAGAAATGCTTATGTTGCTTTTCTAAAGGGGAAGTAAAGACGGCATTTAAAGGAGAAAAAAAACCTGGAATCTCTAAAAGAGTTCTATAACAGATTTTTTTCAAAATTACATTTACGTTATGGCTATGCTAGAATGAATACTTGAGTTTGCCTTGAATACTGCTTCTTCACTGAAACTGTGACCAAAAGAATTGTGTGAAATAACCAGAATTTGCAGAGTCCAATCCTGCAAAGCCTTGTTTTGGTCGGCGAGGCGCCTCCGACTCCCGCACACTTGGAATCGAGAGTTGGGGCTTGCTGCTCACTCCAGCAGAGCTGCCCTGCTCTCCTTGCTTACGTGAAACCAGAAAAATGGTTTAAACTGTTGTTATGTCCGCTTATTTCCTTGTGTTGCCAGAACTGTGTAAAAGAATTTGAAGCTATGGTATGTCTAGATTAGGATGAAAGCCAGCACATTCCCATGGAACGAATTTTAAAATCCTACTGCAGACAGGGTAAGTGGTATTTTAAGATGTTAACTTCTCTATGGCTCGCTCATCCATCTATAATGCATTAAAATACACCATTTATCCTTGCTCTGCAGGAACTAAAAGAGAACAGGTCCAAAAATCGGTGTGAGATGAAACACGTTTTTCAGGAGCGGCATTAGCCATAAACAAGTGCCTGCTTAGTCCCAGAATCCCAAACTTGAATGTCTGACAGCCTTTTCTCCTTGTTCTACAGTATTTATCAGGTGTTAACAAATGACTAAAGTGTAACTAAAACTTGTAGGGATCTTTAAGGTTTTCTTTTTTGTTTTACTAAGTTTTCTTCCCTGCTATTTCTCATACTGATTGCGTACCCTGAAAGACAACACTAATGTGAGAAATTATGACAGCAAGAGAACTGTGAGAAAGCAAGCCGAAAAACTGTGTGAAGACCTTTCAATTTAGCATCTCTGAAAGCTCTGGCATTTAATTTCCAATTCCAGGAGTTAATGAGCACTTTCCAGAAGGGATATCCCTGTTAGCAATTCAACAGCTCCACTCTTTCAATTAATAAGCAGGACCACACTCATGCTGACAAACCTAAGAGCAAAAATGGTCCAATCCCCCAGCCCAAGAACATCCTTTGTGCAGGTGACCTGCAAAGGACCTTCCCGAATGCAACCCCGGACAGTCACAGCCCTTCCCCGAGAGCCTGGCAGGTTTCAACTCCTTTTACGTATCGTTTTGGGGAAAGGCAGGGGAATTGCTTTGCCCCTYGGCGCTGCAGAGCCCTGCCCGTTGCGCGCAGCTCAGCACAGTGTGCCAGCACTGCCCGCGGGCGCAGGACAGGCCTCCTGACCCGYCCCAGCAGGGACAGACTCGCCTGGCGGTCACGCAAAGCGTGGCCTAGGGAAGCCGAGCTCTCCCTGTTAACAACACAACAGGCCTGTTAGTTAGATGTGGAGCTGTTCCTGTAGCTGTGATGGTGCAAAGGCAGCCTTAGCGCAGACCAGGAGTGAATCGGGAGGAGGATTCACCACTGTGTTCAAGCAGCTTCGAAAACAGAGGCATGTGGGGAAGAAAACCGCTTTGTTCCTAAGGGTGGCAGGCAGCAGGGATGGCTTGTTGGCTTCCTGCTCTCCCCCTCATCTAGATGCCAGCCACGCAGAAAACACCTACTCTTATTATTACTGCTTAACCTCCCCTTCACAAACTGTTTAACTCACCGCACTGACAATGGCAAAAGCTCCTCTCAGCAGCAGGGGCTCGGGGTAGCGTTGCTGAGCACGTCAAGGGCTCTGCTCTCGCATTACACAGGGAAAAGAAGCGCACCGTTCTGCGGGGGGGAGGAAGGCGCCGTGTGCGGCACGGCCGGGCGGTGCAGGCCTTTTCCCAGCTGACCCGCGTTCCTATCAACTGCTGCAGCAGGTGACGGAGCAGAAGGCACAGGAAGGAGTCCYGGAACCACCCAGCTCCCCGAAAGGCCACAGTCCCGAGTCCACCCCGGTGCACAACCGCTCAAGGAYGTGGCGCAGGACTCGGGAGGCGCCGTGCTCCGCTGACCGGAGAGGCCCCGCGCACGGTGCCGCCGGGACGCAGTCCCCCACAGCTGGGTCAGCACCCGCTCCCGGCTAAGGGCTGCTGCTCCTCCGAGGGACCAAAGCAGGGAAACACCCGGAGGTGGCCAGGGGGTGCTGGCTCGCACTGTGACAGCCTCTCAACTCAATACAGAACGCAGGGTAAGCTTGCTTTCTGCCATCTTAGAACTGCTGCAAAGAAGAATAAAGAGTGAGTGAAGGTCTTTGGGGTTTGAGGGGCCTCTTCTCTCCCAGCTGGCAAACCTACTGGTGTGCGTTACGCTGCCCCGCGGCGCCGGGGTTGTGGCGGGGCAGCGGGAGCCGCGTGGCGGCGCGGCGGCCTGCGAGCGGCGCGGGGCGCGTGGGCAGCCGGCCGGGCCTGCCATGCACCAGCCGGGGGGGAAAGACGGCCGCCCGCGCCGCTCCTCCCAGCCCAGCGGCCGCCTTCCGCCGCACAGGCCAACTAACGTTCCCTGGGGGGCGGTTAATTAAACCGAGTGTCCGCCAGCACACCAGGCCGGGCTGGGGTGGCCATCACACCTCCCCAGAAGCCGCAGACGGACACACCTCCCAGATAAAGGCCATTTATCATCCACCCCAGAGACTTTCTGGGATCCGTCCCCCTCTKGCGGGCCTCGCTGCGGCCACAGAGTCCCTTTCTCATCAGCCTGACAGGTCCATACAATGCTTAATTGACTTGCCYGGGGTCCTGCTTTTTATTTCCTTGGGGGAAGCGGGGGCTAGAGGTGGTGATGGACATAGATCCAGTCCTTTTCGCCTGCAGTGAAAAGCCTCCCATTATAATGCCATCCATTTGCAACTTTGACCCCCTAGGAGATGCTCTGTGGACAACTGTTTTCCTCCTGAAGGCAGAGCTGGGAAAAACACAGCCCTGAATTCTGAACTGGTTTGGYTTTTGTTTTCAGATTGCTATAAAAATACGGCATTCAAGAGCCACTTATGCTGAAGCTGGATTCCACAAACACCAGAACAAGGTCACGGCTGCAGAAACATGGGCGGCAAGTGAGAAAGTCCTAGAAGAGTCACCTGCAGCAGAGAGCTCCTGTAAGCGCCACACATAAATCAACGGTCTGGAGGTCTCCAGGACCTGCAGCCATGAGCC